ATATATATATATATATATATATATATTCGTAGATAGGATTCGCATATCGCAAGGTATAAAACATTTCCCGAGCAACGTCGCGAGTTCCATTTAACACGGCCATGTTTAGGAAATTCGAACGTATGTACGGGATGTGCCGGTGTAACGAGATCCGGAAACGCCAGTGTCCGATTCCGTTTGGTAAATTATTGCTGGTGAAGGAGGAAGTCGGTATCTAGTCGGCCAAAGTCGGAGGATACGAAGTTTCACTTTCCGTGCGATTCGAATCGCTTCGACTTCCTCGCCCTCCTCTTTCCATCCACCGTTTTCTACCTCTCGTAAGGATTGATTTGAGGGTATCCGCTAGGATCACCGTAGTCCGGAAATCCGATTCATCGTAATCGGGGTCAAGTTGAACGTATTTGTACGGCACGAGGAAGAAGAATCACCCTTCGCCGTCTTGACGTGCACCGACGTGCCGAATTGACCAATCGATCTACGAGCATAAACACCCCCCACAATTGTACTTATCCGAAAATTCGTCACAATTCTAACATTTTTCGTTCATATATTTTTTTTGGATAATATGTTAGAATAGAGAAGAAAATAATGGAGAGAAAAAAAATCTTTATTGTGTAAGTGACTTTTCAAATGTATCTGCATATACATATATCTCTTATTATATTTTCCAAAAATTATTAATGCAATAAAATATTTTCTCACGAATTCTGTTATGCAATTTAAATAATAAAAATAAAAAATATTTAATTAAAAATCATAAAAAAATATTTTATTACACATAATTTTTGAAAAATATAATAAGAGATATGCAGATGCATTTGAAAAGTCACTTATACAATAAAATTCTTTTCTCTTCATTATTTTTCTCTCTACTCTAGCATTATCCGAAAAAAATGTATGAACAAATGTATGAACGAGAAAATGTTATTAGAATTGCGACGAATTTTCGGTTCAGCGCAGTTGTGCGGGTGGATCGATAAAATATTTTCTCACGAATTTTTTTTATATATAAATTCGAATAATTAAATATTTTTAAATTAATTTACTGTCTAAATAATAGTCTAGTTGCTTTCCTATATATAGTTTATGAAAAGTCTCGGGAATATTTTTTAAAATAATTTTTAGAAACTGGATTTGAAACGAAGTTAATCT